TTGGCATAGCCTCTGTTTCTGATATCTTCACGCAATTCGAATTCCAAATGAATGAATACATTTTTAGAAATTTAACACTACAACACAATACTCTTACTCTCTATTGACTTACGTTTGAAGTCGTCCGATGAAAAAAAATAGTTTTCATTATTCATAAAACCACAAAAATACTTTTAACGTAAAACATCTGCCTCATGTTTGAGTGCAAAAGTTTTAATTCTCTAGGCCCGCAGACAAACCATATTAAATTGTTGCTTAAGGCTTATAATATTTACAGATTTAACTTACCTTATCTGTTGTACTGTGTAATCTACTTAGAGTTTTGATATTATTTAAATAAATTTTCTTTTATAATTTTTATGGTATACACTTAAAACACTTTAAGAAGCTTAACTCATGGTATAAAATTTTGACTAAAAAAAATTATTTTCAATAAATTTTTTTTTTACTACTATTAAGTTCTTACTACAATCGTAGTTAAATTTTATTTCATTCCAAGCATGGTACCTGAATCGATATTTTTTTCTTATACACATATAGTTTGTTATTAATTGCTTTATTGAAAAACAAATAAAATCTAATTAATTGACTCGACAATAGTTACAAGTAAGCAAAGTAAATGCATTTGTCAATTAGTTCTAGAAGTAAACCTTTGTAGTATTAGTTTCTTTTTATACTTCTGTCACTAACATAAATGCAAATTTTCTTTATGTCTATAATCGTAAATTAATTCTTGTACTCTTCACTCTACTGTAACCATGAGTATATTAGGTTTGTCAAGATGTTTGAAACGCAGTAAACAAGTCATTGCAAACCATATGATATATTTTACGAAACAGTTTGATCTAGACATATCCATCTATCAATTTATCATAATATTGGTCATATAGTCTCTAGCACAGTTAAGCGAATAAAATTTTGACCAGGATATTAAAAAAAATTTAGAAAAAAATACCACAAAGCATATCAAAAAGAAATTAGAAAATCAACAAAGTCATTTTTTTTTATTGATTATTTAACTTTTTTTCTTAACATAGTTTTCCTGAGTTTTTTTTTAATTTTTTTAAGCCGTTTAGATAAATCCCAACCCCTTTAAATAGGGGTTTTTGTTGTCAAATTACTGTTTCTGGTACCAAGTCTTTCTTAACAACCATTACTTTAACTTCAATATTCAATTATTTTCCATGTTTTTTAAGCGTTTGTGCATAAAAAATTATATTATATATAATATGATTCTTCTTAACCCCTTTAAATTAAGTCTCGCCGTCGTCGATTAGCTAAATTCCACACAAGTCTTTTCTACCAATTAGTTCTTCAGATTTGGAAATACAAAATAGAAGAAAATACGTAAATCTACTGAACATACTATTAGGGAAGAAATCGGTAACGAAATTCACGAAATTTTCTAGTCAGAATGAATGTTCCGCATAGAACCTTATGAAAAGGTTCGTTTTAACTCGGAGTGAGATATCGTGTTTCCAAAATAATATAAATTATCAATTATTATAAATTTTTTACTATACTACTCTGCAGATATTTATTGGAGTGTTGACTTCATGTTGACTTCACAAGACATGTGGTGTTTATGGATTGACGGGAAATATTGAAAGATATTCAAAATATTCGATATAGCCATAATGGGACAACATAAATCAGTATAAACTAAATTAATTGTATGTAAACAGTTTAAATGAATTGTTGTTTTTGTGGTTATTGTTTTCTTTACGTGGTAGCCAAAGTTAACTCTGAAAGTAATATTTAAAGCATATAACAGGTAAAATAGTGTAACGGTAACACTAAACTTAAAAGACAACTAAAAGTTGAATTTAGATATTTTGTTTAATAAAATAGTTAAAATTAACTTATGACAGAGTTTAAAGCTTAAGTATGCAGAGAATTCATAGAACTAATGATACCAATCACTGCTGAACGTATTCTCTCCGACATGTGAATAGATATATCACTTTTTTTTTGTTTTTCCAAACAGGCAAATCTCAAAAAAGATATATATATTTAATATTAATTTTTCTTTGAATTACGCAACTATTTAAAAATTAGACGAATTCGAGTAGCAAAGAAAAGACAAGAACAAATATTTATTTAATTTATTGAAATTTGGTTGACCATACAACGCTGTTTCGACTATTGTCAAGTACTCATCAACAGTGGTCTTAGGAAATATTCGAATTTCGTAATTTGTATATAGTTTGTATATAAATTGTTGGGACTGCAAGTGCCAGGCTGAGAACTTCACAAGTAGTCAAAGCTGCACAAACTTTCAATGCTCAAGTTTCAGATTTAATATATATTTTTAATTTTTAATTTGTACTGTGGAAAAGAAAAAATTAAAAAAAAAATGGCTATAAAAACCTAATGGAAGATATCGTAAAATCATTATGTTCTAATTGTTTATTTTTATATTTATATATAAACCTTATAAATGCATTTATCAAGAAGTATAAAACAGTTAAATGTTACATTGTACATGATAATAAATTAATTTTAGTCTAAAGTTTAACATAAAATTATAAAATAAAAAATAGTGAAATCCTTGAACTTAAGCCTTTGAAATTATTCACTCTTATTTACGTGACCTGCAATATAAATACCAATAAATGTTAAACTTGCCCCTGAGAAATTATGTCAATTTATATTTTATGAGAGTATCTGAAAAAATTTAATTTTTTTTTTTATTATTATACATCGATAAGAACAAAATCATTTTTTTTTACTAAGGAGCAGAGCTTCTGGCTATTAAAAGATATTGTTTAAATGTTCAAACGATACTTTCGCGTCTATAAGTTCTAATAATCTTTATGTGTGTGTGACGCAAAACGCAGCTACATTATGCATATAACTGAGATGACATTAATATCGTATGTTATGTACACTATCATTTCTATTTATGGATGCATTTTTTACTCAAGGGACTATATTTTTGTTGAGGAACTTATTGATTTTTCGCGAAACGTTAATAATGTTAATAAAAATTTTAGCTATGTTTTAAATAAAATTAAAAGATAATATTTCAATTTAAATATAATAATAAAAATAATAATGCCAGCTTTTAAATAAATTAAAAATACCTTTAAAATATACAATTGTTATAAAATATAACCAATATCACGTATATGTAAAATATTCGAAAAATTTTAGTAGTGTTTATACCTTTTGTACCAGTCATATTTTAAATGTCTAACATTTTTAATAAACTTAATATTTATTTATAAAATTACTAATTTTATTATTCGATATCTGCAAGATTTAAAAAAAAAGTAGTATTTTAAGTACGTATTTTCAAAATGACGTTCACACATTAAACACTATAACATTTTTAAAAATTTAACTACGAAAAATAATTATTATTAGGTTGAGGCTAGTTGAGTCAGCACTTTTCCTCTCTATTAACTGCGAGGTTTCTTCATAACCCCTCTCTACGTCTTGACTGGTTTATTGTTTATCACTTTATTAGACTAAGTCATAACTGACCTCAGATCTGCATGCCTCTCCGAGAAGCCTGTAACCATTCTTTGATTCGATAAGCCTGTCAGTTGGTAAGCCTGTCAGTTGGTAAGCCTGTCAGTTTTCGTGCATAATTTAAGGTGTTTGTCCTTTATGTATTTTTTAATCAATTAATCTTGAGGTCCCTGAGGATGTGATTCGTCCTAATGTACCATGGTACCTTAAAAAGTCTTCTCAGAGCCTGGCTTTATGCAATTTCTAGTTGGTGAATAGTAGTGTTTGAAGCACAACGGTATCATCAATGCTAATACGTTGCAAAGTATAAAAAAACATGAAATAATATGTCTAGATCTACTCTCTAACGACTTTTGTCGCAATTGTAGTTTTAAATTAGAGACATAGACAAGTTTCTACATTTTTAAGGTACTACTTGGATAGGGAACTCGCATTTTCTCAAAAGAACGAATATCATGCTTTAGAATTCTACTTTTAAGGTGGTTCTTCAGGTTTGGCGCACATTATTTGTGCTCAAGTGAGCTGTGGTGCAGTAGACTATAACTGACTCCAACCTAATTTATTAAGCGTAGTCATATGTTAAATACGTATAGTTTTTTAAACATATAAACATTTTTCCTCACAAAATTGAGTTTTAAGTTATAAGAACTTGTTGTTACAGAAAACTGGAAACGCAAAACTAAATCTCGAAAATAGTGAAGTAAAACTTCACTATTAGAAGCTTCTATAAGCTTCTATTGTCATGAAGCTTATAGAAAGAGTACTGTTGTGATTCTAGGCTCTAGCAGCTTATCTGGTACACATGTATTCTATGAAAATACTAGAAATGGGTATACACAGTGACAAATTATAAAGGAAAATTGATATTTACGACCACAGAAGTAAATCTATGATGATATATATAAACTAGAGAATTTCGGAAGAATTTTTAAAAAGGCTTTAACAACAACAAAGAAAAATGATTTTATCAAAAAACCACTTTTTTTTTAAATTTAAGATCAAAAAAAATATTTTTTTTTAAATTAAACTTATTGAAATCGTCATTACACTGTCATTTCCTTTTTTTTGATCTTAGATTAGATATAAAAAATTAAAAACTATTGACTTAAAAACTGACATTAAGGTCCATAAGTTTTTTTTAAAAGATTTTAGATATAATAACAATTATATTTAGTTTAGGGTCTAACATCCTCGGATCTACTTAGATCTTAACATTTAAGTGTTCTAGAACTTAACATGTATATTTAGTATATTATTATTATACAATTATTATAAAATTAGTATACAATTATTATATAATTATTATATATTAACATTATATTATTATATTATTATTTTATTACATTATTTAAAATAATGTCAAAAATTTTAATGGGTAAATCAATCAATTTCGTATACATTATAGGACTAAGTATATGCATTTGATTTATATATTTTTACTTTTATATATACACTTTTCTACGCTTTTATATATGTATATATATTCTTGCTTGGTTTTAACATTTTTGAAATTCTATTTATAGGTGGATTTGCAATGGTTTTTCTAGTAAAAGCCAACACAGGCAATGCAAAATATGCACTGAAACGTATGTACGTAAATAACGAACATGATTTGAACGTGGCCAAAAGGGAGATACAAATAGCAGTAAGTAATGAAAATCCAATCATTATCGTGGATTATCGTGGATATATAAATTGGTTTAATGTGTCAATATAAATGTAAATATCTATATATTTTATTCTTATTACAGAGTAATCTAAGTGGTCACAAAAATATTATTGGTTATATCGACTCAAGCATTACACATACGGGAAATGGAGTGTGTGAAGTTCTGCTATTGATGCCATATTGTAAGCATCACATGCTGGCCATGATGAATGCACGGTATGTATTTTAGTAAAATATAAAAATAATATCATTACCATTTATACTATCAGTTATCATAGTATATGTCGAGTTTTAACCGTTAAACAACCGAGTCATCACGAACTTGATCTGATCAATAGTTTCAATGGTTTGACTTCGTCTAACTATAAAATATTCTGTGTCCCCGATCTACTCCTATGAACATTATATTAATCTTTTAATATAAGCGTTTTATATGAATATAATGGAGTGTATATGAAAGGTATTCAAATGAAGTAGAAACATAAAGTAAAGAACTAGGCTATCATTATTTTGAATATCGAAATAATAATAATTGTCCAATGGCACGAGTGCTTGGGTGATTGGATATCGACCCTTTATTTTTGGTTGTATTAGGATGCAATTTGTCGTAGCTGTGGGGAGGACGATGAGAGCGCATCTCATCTTTTGTGTTTTTGGATCTGACTTTAAATAGCATTTTATGCTTTACAAAAGGTTCTAGGTGGTTTTAAACCCTGAGGTTTTCATTATTTATATACGGCATCACAATGGGCCAATAGGCCTAAGTGGATCCACTGGGGTTCACCGGTATAACCTAACCTAACCTAGGATTTAATTTGGCTTAAATGAAAAGTATTTAAGAGAACTATAAACCTAAAATAATAAACCGGATTGGAATCTTTGTTTTGGCAGATAAATTTCGTGCCTCGTATTTATTTAAATAAATTTTTTTTTAATTTAGAATTTACAGTATTCAGTATTCCTGAATCTTCTTCATTTTGCAGAGTTACATCATATACATATATATATATAAACTTTTATTTTTTTCTATATGTATCTTATAGCTTTCAAGTTGGCTTTACTGAACAAGAGGTTCTTACCATCTTCTGTGATATATCTGAAGCAGTTTCACGATTGCATTACTGTCAGACACCAATTATACATCGCGATCTTAAAGTTGAAAATATACTACAAAATGATACTGGTAATTTTGTATTATGCGATTTTGGCTCAGCTACAGCAAAGGTACTCAATCCACAACAACATGGCGTAAATACAGTTGAAGAGGAAATACAAAAATATACAACTCTTTCGTATCGTGCACCTGAAATGATTGATCTTTACTGTGGCAAAAATATAACAACGAAAGCAGATATATGGGCACTAGGCTGTTTGTTATATAAGTTATGTTTTTTTGCTTTGCCATTTGGCGAGAGTACTTTAGCAATACAAAATGGTCAATTCTCAATACCTGATAATTCTAAGTACACCAAAGGTATACATCAGCTCATAAAATATATGCTTGAACCAGATATGGACAAAAGACCAAATATATGGCAAGTATGTGAGGTTGCATTTAAGCTTACCGGAAAAGAAAATCCAGTAACGAATTTGCACGTAAGTTTTATGTTCTAAATAAAAAGCTATATATTCTAAAAATCGAATTATTTAATAGAAATCGTCGGCTCCAATTATTGAACAGCTAGCTGTACCAGCATTTGAATCTGAGGTTAAAAGAATTTCCAGTGCAGCTGCTAAAGTTGTCAAACCTCAGAGTGTGTCTATTGTCGAATCTGGCACAAGTGTTGCGCCACGACAACGTCCCAAAGGCTCATCTGCAGTTCATGGTCAGAACCCATTAGGTTTGGGCTTACCACCTAGTCCCTTACCTCGTAATAATATAACGTCACCACAACCACAACAACCAGTCATAGAGCAATTTCAAACAAACTTTCCAAATATGCCGCCGCCTCCTGCGGCACCTTCAGCGTCTACAGTTCAGCAACAAACTGCAACAATAGGTAATACAGTTAATGCGGTTGCAACCCCTAGTGTGACTACTGCACCAGCTGAAGTGTTAAATAGTTTATTTGAGTCAAGCGTGTATCCAGATCCGTTTAGTGAAAGTTCATTACCTCCACAAAACAGCGAAGTATTAGATCAGGCTGTAATTACTGTTATACCGGATTCTACTTCGCATGATGTTACAGGCAGTAATGTTGTTACCGCTCCTGCGGCAGTAACACCTGTGAAAAGAATGCTGTCACCTCCCAAAGTTGGAGTTTCTACAAATATGCCCAATGCAACCGGACATCGTCGTAACGTCAGCGATACTTCAGCTTTTAATAAGTAAGATTTTGTACATTTTCTTTTAAAATAATTGTTCTCCTGTCGATTTGTGTCTATTTCTGTGTTCTTTTCTCTTTTTTTTTTATATACTTTCAATATGAATTTTAAAATCAATATGGCTTTCTTATACACTTATATAATTTCGCTAAATGCATATTTTTATTCAACAAGAACATCGATATCAGATGATCAAAATGAACATTTAAGCGATTAGATATTTTCATAAACGATTCATGAATTGCTTACGTTTAGTTGAAGATACAAGCAAACAATAAATTACAAAACAATACACTGTGCCAGTTAAAAAAAGTTTTATCGATTATATTAAACAAATCAAATACAAATATTTGATTCCGATTCCTTTAAAATTATATGACTACTATTCATACCAAGTAGACTAGTATGGAATATCACTGTAAATGCTTTCGCCAATAAAAAATATATATATTAATTTAATTAATTTAATTGGTTTAACTGCTTATATAAATAAGTTTCATTCATATTATTTATTTGTGTAAATTTATCATCATACCATATCATCGCAACACTAAACATAACCATTTCGTCTTAACATATTTAATCGATTGTAAGTAATAAATATAATTTGTTTGCTTGTCTTCCTTTCTATTATGAATTCTTAATTGTTTTCTTACTCAATTTATTTATTTACCATAATCATTTTTTCTCATTTATTTATTTTTTATTCCTAATTTAACCTTTTCATATAATCTGCCACGCATGTGTGCACATCATAGAACCTTTGCCAATGAAACATCCCAATTCCTAGCGCCTTATGATCAGTCCGTAAAGAATCGTAACACTAATATGAGCAGCGGTGATGAATGTGCTATTACAAGTAGTTGTAGTGCATCTGTTTCAACAACTTTTGGTGGTTCCAATCCTGGACTGTTCCTATCACCAACACATACACCACAACAAATACATGCACAACCGATAACTGGATCGATTTCCAATACTGAATTGACAACAACAAAAAATGTGACTGCATCCGCTGATGTCATTAATAGAGGTTCACTCGAAGGACATGTTGATGCTTGGAATCCATTTGAAGAGCAACCCTTTAGCCAGATGACGGAGGATCATATATTTGAAGCTGAATTCGATAAGCTAAGACAGCGTGGCAGTCAAGGAAGTGAGTATTATATATGATGAAATGTTTTATGTGAATGTATAATAATTATAATAGTAATTCTATCTATGTTTATAGAAATTTGTTTCTAATAAATGTTTTGTATTTTTTAATATTTATGAGCACATTAGAATTTGTATTCTTATTATTCAACTTAAAATATTTTTATTTAAAACTATATAGCAAATGTGATAATCTACTTTATTTGATAGGCATTACTGCAAAATCAGCATCAACAACTTCTACACTTACACCAACAGAAAATAATTCAGTACATTCAACAACAGTGCCAGCACAGACAGCACCTACAGCATTAGTCACATCTACAGTGCTTCAAAGTGGCGGAAGTGGTTCCAGAATTTCACCGCATGTACCTGATGATCCATTTGGTTCAGCACCATTTAGTTTGCCGCCAGGACTAAGAGAAAAGGCAACTTCACTACGTAAAACAGGAGGTAAAGCATGAATATCTTATTATAAATTTCTATATACTACATTAATAGTACATTATGCGCTGCTATATTTCATATCGGCCCGGCCTATTAAAGTTTAGTAATACTTCCTAAGTATATAGAATAGTTACACTCCTTAAAGCATATATGTACTATTTATTCTATCGAAAATGGGTATAATTTATAGCATTTGTAGAGCAATCTACAGAAACCATACATATGGTTGCCAACCTCTCTATATTTATTATCCTGCTTTAAAATTTATATGTATATTTGTTTAGGAAAATATTAAATTTCAGTTATTATTTATGTCCAAATATGAATTATATTCAATTTTCTGATTAACATGGTCAGCAGAAGTAGAAAGCAAAGTTAAAAGTTAATTTAAAATATTAGAAAATAAACTAGACTTTTTAATTTTTTTTTTTAATTTATTTAAATATTTCATATATAATCTAAATGCACATTGTGTTTTTTTCTAATATTATAAATCAACTATAACTGCTGCTCAGTTGTGCCGAAAATTCTATATAATAAAATTACAATTGAATAGTACAATTTATTGCTTTTTTGTTTTTATTTAGACCTTGCAAATGTAAAATTTTTACAAAAAATTGTCTAACAAAAGTTCTATTAAGTAAGCAATTTTTAAATTAATTTAAAATTAATCGTAATAATTCAAATCAGTTATAGTTGTTGTAAATTAATATATGTAAAATACTATAAACATAGTAAAATTATGAGCAATCAATTTCTATGGTGTTTGTTTAACATACACACACAAACGCATTTACATAAAAAAACTCGTACACATACATGTATACAAGCACTTAAAAACATATTAATTAAAATCACACAATAAAATATAAGTAATTATATAGGATATATAATATATATATATATGAACTATTCTCTAAAGGAATTGATTCTGTATTATCCGCATGGACGTATTGTAATATGTACATACAATTAATAAAAAAAGCTATATAATATATAATGCCGCTGGTATGGTGCTGGTTTTCAATATTACTACTATTAATATCTTCTTAATAACTAGTTATATATAGTTATACAAATAAAAAAGTAGTAAAATCTGTAATTGGTTGCGGTCTAATTTAATACATAACTAATAAATTATTTATTTAGCTATAGTAGCAGTACTGGTAGTTAAAATAAATTTCCTTAATAAATACTAATTTATTAATTAATTTTGCATATCATTGGTTAAAGTGATTACAAAAAAAAAAAAAAGAAAGAAAAAACCTAAAACACAACCAAAATACTCTTAAAAATTAAATATAAAACCAGAGTTTCATTAAAGATTAATAATAGTAATTGTATAAATATTATTGAATATTAAACTTCAATTGTAATAATTAGAATAGAAAAATATATTGTATGAAAATTGTTAGTGGACTTTTCTTTCAATTTTAGCTTAAAAACATAAAAGCCATATATCAAACTAAAGCAATATTATATTAACTGTATTATATTAATGTATACTTATTAAATAATATGAGAAAATGTTATAATACATTTAAGAAAAAACTATGTATATATATTAATTTTTTTTTGTTTTGTTTTTGACAATTATATATTATTTTTTAAAAATAAGTACGTTTCGAGATCTTTGACTTTATTTTAAAAAAATTTTTTTATAGTTTAAAAATTATTTTTTTATTTAGTTATAACAATAATTCCACATCCCATTGACTGGAAAAAAAACAAATTTTTTTTTACATATGTTTTTACATAAATTTAAATTTCGTTATATTTTAGTAAATAAATTGTTATTTGTATATTCAACGAGAACGCAACTTTATTAATAAAAATTATTCATTTAGGTTAAAAATAAATTTTTTTCTTAATAAACTAATTAAAACTAGGAATTTTTAAAATTCTTTTATTATTCAACTGAAAAAATTAAATTCATTTATTTATTGAATTATTTATTTTTAATAATGCCAAAATCTTTATTATATATTATTTTAATGGCTTTTACTTTGTTGATGATGATGTTGTTGTTGTTGTTGTTGTTGTAACCTGGTTAGCTCGCTAGTTTCTGAAAGAGTTTATTTGATTTGCGAGAATTGCGAAAAGTGAAACATCAATGAGGGTTAACGTCCTGGAACCATTCGTCAATTTCGACGATCAAGCGCCGTTCATCATTCCCAAAAGGGATTGTGCTAGCAGATCTCCACAAGCTACGACAACAACAACACTTAGTTATCAATAATGAATGGCACCAAAATGAAGATAAAACTTCTGGTAGAATCATATCTTGTCTTCAATTAACATGTGTATATACTGTTAACCTTATTTTGGTTGCTGTTTCAGTTTTGATAACAAAGCCATATTATCAATGACTTCATCAAACGGTGGCTATATTAACAAATTTAATTGGTATCTTGTTTTTATGATAATTTATAAAGTCAAATTGTTAATATAAATAAAATAAGTCTGTGACAATGTGTTTGATAGTACACAAACTATAAACAGTATATACTTATTCTCATAATATAAAAGTATTCACTGTTTTTTGAACTTCAACTTCTCACGGTACATAAAAACTTACCTCTTATAAAATATATATTTCAAAACCCCAATATATTATTATGGTTAATAATTCCAACACAATGTTAAAGTTACCGAAATATTGTAGATTTTCATATAACGCCACAAAAATTTAAATTTTTTAAATTTGGAGACATGTATGTCCATTATATTGAACTTTTTTTTGGCATATTATTCTTATCCTAGTTATATATTTTTTATAATTTTTTCTTGATTATTTTATATTCAAATTGTTTAAACGAGATTATGTATGTTAAAATTATTACAATAATAGTTCATTTAGTTTAACATTTTAACAGCGGAAATGATTTAGGTACTTCTATTACAGTGTTTTTACTATCTATTTTATTTTTCATAAAATATAATATTACCCTTAGGTTTTGAATATATGTATTAACGATACATTCAACATAAAAGTAATATTATTCTAGTGTATTTTTTACGATCAAATTTTCCTTTCTGATCTCTGACAGTAATTTTTATACCCCATAAAAAAGGGGTATACGATCCTGTGTACACAAGTAAAAATTGTTGTTCCGTGAATATATCAGCTCACATAATATATTATTTATTTATATATATGTATATTTTAAACAAATTAAGAAGAAAATATTGATGATATATATATATACATAAATTAATACTATTTACTTTTTATATAAAATGTATATATATATTATATAAAAAGTATATATATATATATATATGTTTATTTATATTCAAACATTTTTTTCATAATTTTAATTCTTTTTTTACTTTGTAATTATTTTTTTTTTTTTGTGATTATTTTCTTTTGTTGCTGTTTCCAGTATAAAATTTAATGATATATTTTTTAAATAATATTAATTACCTAAAAATTTAGTGATTATGATTAAAATTTTATAAAAATCTGTTATTTGCTTTATAATTTTATAAAACATGTATAAATTTGTATATTGAAAATTTATATATAAACATGTTAAAGTTCATTTTAACTAAGTTTAATATATTATAAACAAATAGCTATAATAGAACTGTAAAAATATATATTTGAATATATGATTCGTTTGGAAGTAATTTTCAATATTTTTTAAGTCAAATTACTTTATAACTAATTTTGTAATATGGTTTGTAAATACTTGACTACAGAAGAAACAATTATTTCTTATAAAGTATTATATGTAACATACAAATTCTTTCCATAATATATAAATAAATTTCAATTTTGTGCACAATAAGGTATAAAACTTGCCTGGATAAGTTATTATCTATCACTTTATAATAATTCCAGTTTCTTTAATACTATAAACTTAAGACCTTAAACCCTTTTTTAACTTTTATAACTTATAATTGCTCTAACTAGCATTTTTCAATGTATATATTGTGTTTCGCATTCAAGTGATTTAGTTATTAGAGATGAATATTTAGTCCATAATTAAAGTCTTACAAGTGGGGGTGAAATTTAGGGTTTTTTCCATTTTAAATATTAACCGATTTAAAAAATGTCAAAAGAAAATCTATTTAAAAAAATCCAATAGTTTAAAAAACATTAGTTGAAAAAAATCTTCTCGAATAGTTATAGTCGTATACTATAGTTTTTACTTTACTAAATATCTATTAATACCGATATGTCCATCAGTTAAGGCGTGCGTCTATACTCAACGTACCGTAACTTTGTACGGACTATTTTAAAATTTTACATATAATATAATTTATTAAATAAATCATGGTTTTATATTATTTTTATGTTAACTTATAAAGACTTGAGAAATACGTACTTAACTCGATGTCTAATCTGTTTTTCTGTTTCAAAATGGGCTTACAAATTATAATGCTTTCAGTATATTTTATGAAATAATGTTCAGCTATATGAATTAACTGTAGCTATTTGAATAGCTTTTGATCGTGTATCTCGGTTAATATTTAAAATGGCTAATTCTCCCTTCTGTATAATATTTCTTATTGTATGGATTATGGAATCACGTTTAGTTTTTTTGAAACTTCGGAAAGAAATTTTGACACTTCGTGACGGAATACCCTCTATACATAGGCGGGCAAGGAGGGGCAAGCACAAACCGATTCATATATATTTTTTTATTGATATCTATAATTATTTCTTTAAAACAAAAGTTCATAATTACGTTTTCATAAAATTACTTGTTAAAATATAATTTGAAAAGTTTAGTAAAGTGAAAATGATCAATATAATTAGATAAAGCAACATCAACAAAGTTTCTTTAATTTTTTAATTAATTTTCTTTAACTTTAATTCTTTAAAATTCTTTAAATATGTAAAAAAATAAACATTTAAAAAATATTTCTAATAATATATTTATAATATATAGTATTATAAATATTTATTTTATTATATATTAAAAAATAGTAACCTATATAATTATTATTAAGTGAGGAAAAATATATATATGAGTTTTCTTATAATGTTAGCTATT